TGTTTACGAGTAAGGCAATTATATCATACAGACAAGTCCCATCCCAGCCGGCGTCCACCGCGAGACATTGCTCTGTTTGTTATGTTAACTTATATTAATATGTTAGTGGCTGTAATAGGGAGTAGTGGGAAGTAGGACCTGTCTCGTTTGTACTAATTGTTTGATAATTGGCCGACGGCGAGATAGCGCCAGGCGCGGCACGGCCACACACCTGGACGTAGTCGTCACAACGATACTGTAATACGTGAACGTTGCCAATTATACTGAACTGTGACGTCATTTGTATAGTGATGCAAATGCTAGCGCCATTTGTGAAATTTATAAATATTCATTACATTTTAATTTAGAATTGTGTTCCACTTGATAAGAGATACGAGTGCCGCTGACTCACACTTTGTGGAAGCCTCTAACAGTGTTATCCACTTAGTAGATGTTAGTTCGTAGCTGTAGTGACGGTAAATCGCACTACTATTTGATATATAGAAATTGAGCCTGGTTTACAGACTTTGTACTCTTAAGGTTACAACTCATTAGAGCCACCCGCACAGCACCGCCTCGCCTCGAGCGGTTAATATTCTTTGTATGGAGTACTAAAGGTATACTTCATCAACTCCGGAGCGCCTCGCCTGTGACTAAACAGCATTAAGACTGATTCAATAATCTACATTAATACGTGTTCTTTGAAAGCACTTAAACCATTATTGATCTTTTATCGTTATACAATTGACAAGTTTCCGTTAGGCATTTATACATACTCTTAAAAATGTGTTCGTGAAAAAATCTAAGACTCAAAATACACTTAAATGTATGTTTGTTAATCCCGAAATTCATTAATGTCAAGACAAGTAGATTACGAAAATATTGCTAAACTATGTACAAATTGTAAAGCTATAGGATTTTGGTTTGGACATCTTACAACGACTGCCTTTTTATTAATATAATACCATATGTATTTTCTCTGCAAAAGACAAAACATTTAGAGCATCACCAAGAGTTATTTTTAAACTAAATCTACTTCCTAACGTACGTACAGTAATACTGTACTTAAATATATGATCGGATGTAGTAAAAGGACTTATGTAGTGAGAGGAATAGCAAGGACATGTGAATGCTGCGGCTGTTGTAGGCAGTATACGAGGTACAGTTTAGAAACGGAGAAATGTGCTGTCGCGTTGTCCAGCACGCAGACCTTACACACTCCCCGTGCCCACTCGAGAGTCGTTCACGGCGTATCTTACTTACTTATACTAAATAGTGTCGAAGACAAGGCGCTCTGCAATAAAAGACAGCAGCAGCGGAACGGACGCGATGTCGGATCGGCATCGCCACGGCAGCGATGCGGCGCCACGCCGGTGCCCGAGCGAATATAAATCACGCCACTTTATCGTCTTATATTTTTATGATATTTCGCCACAAACAAAGCCACTTCGCATTTGTCTTCCACGCGTATCTTTTCTCTGTTATTTTTCGCGAACAATGCCCGCGTGAAATCAAATGATAATTTAAAATTTGAGCGAGATGGCGTCGGGTCGCGGGGGGCGTGACGAAGGGCGGGGGGTGCGGCACCTAAATAAATTGTTTAAGATACAACATGAAGTCGTTCGCTTTGAGTTATGGCGGCCGGTGGCATTGTGTGCCTATGTAAGTGTGCGCTACACAATGAAATAACTTTGGAGACATTACACTACACATTAATAAGATTTATATTTGCTCACTCTTTACATCGGAGCTCTCGTATGACTATGATTATCCCACTTCGTTAGTTCCGAAAGTTAAGTATGCAGACAGTTCACCGCCGAATATATTAAGATGAAACACAGGAGCGGTAGCGACTCTCTTTATATTATACAGTTCCAGTTTTCAAGCAAACAAAGTTGGCTGTACTTTTACATGATGTTACAAACTCGCTGGCACAATTACCGTACATTTGTTTATGACTTTATTATTAAAATGTGTAACCGCTTTACGTGTCAGGCGGACTACTCACCGGCTTACCCAGCGGAGAAATACACTAGATTACCTCAGGGCGCCTTGTCGAAAACAGAAGGGTGTGCGTGTGGGCAACCTAAGGGACTCCTCAGAGAAAGACAACTTACACCTCAGTCATACATACATGTATATTTAAAATAAATACAGAGTTACAATAAAAAAACATAAAATAGTGGGTATATAAAAAAAATCCCGCAGCGGCGCGCGTCAAGGCCAAGCTGATGCTGCTCGGAGCCTCCTCGTCATCAATCCAGCAGGCCACTTCCACACCAGCCCGAGTCGGCTATTTATATTAGGTATAATGGAAGGTTCAATATTTATATTAATTACATTAACAAGAATTACGTAACCCTTGAATAAGGCTGACCGCTTGCTTGGTGAGCCGCGTGACTGCCAGTTTACCAGAGGGTACTGAGAAGCTCGATTACGCACCAGAAGGCCACAAACGAAAGAGCACGCCGTCTGAGATTGTTTGTATTGACCCGAAATCTGGAGCCCTACGAATGGATTAGCACTCATATAATCGTTCAGGTTCCAGAAACAAATGACTACAAGAAAATTAAGATTAACTTACCACTGGCGTGGGTACTTAGAACAAAGAAAATATTACTAAAATGAAATTACCCGACAAACAAAATACTACATAAGATCGGAAGACTAGAATCACCAGAGTGTCCCCTGTGGCTGAAAGCCGGACTTATATATGCTCGGTTTATGAAATTTCTAGAAAGAATCCCTTCTTTATCATTTTAAATTGTCATTCAAATTATCATCGAGGTTAACACGACTCAATTCAACAGTAACTCGCTTCCTACCATAACAGGACACTATTAACACCAATACAATTTGTCAGGATAAATTATTACTCTGACTTACCAACAATACAACGCCATCTAGTGGTCCGATGGCGGACGAAGAACATCAATACTATAGTTACAATCTAATTTGGATAAATCATTAAATGCGACGCGGGCCAATAGGTGTCACTGTTTACAACTCTGTACGCAATACAAATATAATAAAAAAATAACTGTTACAAATGTTATAGAGTTTAAATGCTGCTACCTACTGCACCACTCACGTTCTCTTTTAATATATTTGACATGTACGTATTTGTTGTATATTAACCTTCCATTGTCACGTTGTTGAGTACAAAGGTAAGTTGGTCTTGGTGCATACATGTCTTAACCTATTACATATATTATGAAGAACTGGTATTATGTTATATAATAAAGTTTAATGATATATTAGTATAGCAAGTCAAAATTAAGCACTACTAATTATATCTGATGCACCTTTCGATTTGCGAAAGTAGCCCAAGTTTAGTAGTATACTGATTAATTGGCGTACTGTTGGACATACGATCCATCCGGTTCTCAGATAGAATCCTCCAACACCCTAATGTCATGTCTATAATTATTCAACATACTCATTTTAAGTTACAAAATACATGGCAGATGATGACTATGGAAAGAAATATGTACAGCATTCTTCATACGATATTACCTGTAACTAATTAATGTTTCAATGAAAATATTGCCCTAACTTCGTTAACCCTTTGTCCCGATTAACAGCAAATTTACATCTAAGTAAATATCAATTACATCACAAGCATGTTTAACATTTCTTAGGCGGAAGAGGCAGCAGGTACGTCTATATTGAAAGCGCACAAATTACCCACCACGTAATAATTACTGACACGTCTGGGACTTCGCTACCAGAACCGCGAGACTCGCGTTGATTTCACGTGTCTCTTCGATACACTCGGTACCTCCATTGAATCCAACCGCAAACATAAATTACATCCTAATTCCAACTCACAAAGTTGATATCGCCTTGAAGGTGAACGGATCGTTAAGTCGTTACATAGTTGTATAAACGGTTCCCGGCTTCCAATCCGTTGTCGGCTCAGCCTCCCCGATGCATTGTCACATGTTATTACATTACTGTACGGCACTCGAGCGGTTTGCCACCGCTGCGCCGCCGCACTTTCTAAAGCAATGTTTCTACAAAATAATATAATGACCTCGAAATTGCAAAATTAAACAGACAAATCTTGTTGCAGTTATTTGGCAAGTTACAGCGACAAATAATACAAATTTTCTTCAGCCCCTGGTAACCTCACTTACCCAGTTAAATTGAAATGAAGGAATTTCTTAACTCCGGTTTTCTAAGATGCCATTCTATAACTCTGGTCGAAGTTATGCCGAAGCATGACTCTCCCACGGCGTTAATTACTTATTACTTTTAATATCATCATATTACTATGTGCATCAGGAAGTGCATCATCATTGGAAGAAATATAAAGTGTACTCCCTAAACCTATACCTGGGTCGCAATTCCCAGGCGCTGTCGAAGGAACATGTGGTGCCCCCATCTACCACCCGATTTACCCGGCACCAGCACGGTGATTTTATGGAACGCTAAGAAATAGGTCTAGTATAACCAAATTAATGCGCTCTAATAACGAATCGGAATAAAAAGTAAATAAAAATTCAATTTTCCTCCTTCTGCCTTCGTTGTCAAACCATGTTTGTTAAATTGTTCAAACTGCTAGCAGCCTCTGAGGAGTTCCATTATTCTCCTCATGGAAACATCATCAAATCAGTTCAGAGATGCTATTATTAAAGCATTGTCAGCCAAACTATATACGAGTACGTACAATGTTTTAATTCGATACAATTAGATGCCGGTTAAAGTTATCAAGATTTGTTTACATAGTTACGAGTGAAACTAATTAAACCGTATTAATATCAGTTGGCTGATGAAGGGCTTTGTCCAGGCAGATCTCGTGTTGAACATAATTGCAATCCAGCGCCGTAGTGATCACTCCATTGTTGCGTTTATTTCACATATTTATGCAAACTAGCAAATATAAAGCTTGTTAGCCGCGCCGTGCCACTGCCTACACTACGAATCATTCATTTGGAGAATTACCTTCATGTGAACATGTTCTATACTATTTTGTATTTTATTGCAAGAATATTACATAATATTATATTTTAAATCTATTAACCTTTGTCGCCTTTCTGAATTACCCGAGTGGCAATAACGTTCGATGGAATGGTACGGATTATAGTCAGGGTTAGCCTATCCGTTGGTCTCGTGACACGATCGGTGTAGTTGTCTGTCACATTGGCTAGTTTTTGTAGTTCATCTTCTGTGGTGTCATTACTGTCTAACTTATTGTATAACGTCGCATATGTTCGCATCATGTCTACATAAGGTTCATAGTTAGAGCTCAGTTCTCGGGGGCTCATCCTTACACGGTTCGGTCACGTATGCCATAAATAAGGTGACAAAGCATTAGTTTTGTCTACAAATTACTGTACAGGTTTCGAAATCGGTTTGTTAAAACTAGCTGATATTGCAAGAGTCTAAAATCTACAGTAAAGACCGTCAGTAAACTGGTCTTACTGGCTCAATGCACTCGTAAACAGATTTCGATTACATACTCTGCTCTTAATCATTTATTAAAACTTGCAATAAGTAGATACCTCAATAGTATTTTATAATGTATATCCCGTTAACAGTGCTAGTTAAACGATATTCAAATTATTATTTTTTATGGTATAAGGGTGCAAACGAGCAGACGGGTTACCTCATGGTAATCAACTACTGCCGCCCATGGACACCTGCAACTCAAAAGTCACAAGTGCGTTGATGCCCTTGGAGTGAGAGAGCAATTCTTGCGTTGCCTTTCACTGAGTGAGTGAGGTTGCCGGAGCTCAAAGCCCTTTTTCGAGTCCCTTAAAAAAAGGGCTTTGAGCTCCGGCAACCTCACTCACTCAGTGAAAGGCAACGAAAGAATTGCTTAACACCAGTTTTCTGTGATGCCTTATTTGAGCAGAAATCTGTGACGGTGCTATTGACAGTTTCGATTTTTGTTTTGGACATAAATGTTATATGTACGAACTCACGTCATCTCATTTTCACCAATCTTTCTTTAACTCAATTTAATTTATAAAATTTTACATTCTGATTAACCAGTAGGTATATTAAAAGAGATACGGAAATCTTCGTTGAATGCTGATTGTAAGAACATACTACACAACGTAACGCAAACTACACATCGCTATATGTAAAGCTTAAGTAATCTGTGTTATGGGTTCTAGAACAAGAATACTTAGATTCATTTTTTATCGGACTCATCTTTTTAGGCAACAACACCCAATTCGAGTGACCGTCGTGCGACTCTGAGCTGCTCCAGTTATTGGTTTACACTCTTTGCTCCATCTGTATAAGCAAATCTATCGTTGCCTTCCTCACTAAATATTTTTCCTAAATAGAATATATATAATGAATATAGTTTTCTGATAACGATTCCGCAATAAAATGTCTACAATCGATGATAATAAATAACTTTGAGTTGGTTTTTATTTCTCTTTTCTCAAGTTACAAAGATGGCGGCACATTCGTCCAGCTCGTAAAATATTGATATAGGTCACGCTTTAAAATTTCGTTTACATAATACAAAGGCAAGGGTAGTTCATTTTATGAGTTCATCTCGAAGATTTAAAGAGATAAGTTGGCAAACAAATCTATCGCGAGGCGTGCCAACAATGCACCAAGAAGTCACTTGAAGGGTGGCGCAATATCCAATACGACCCCCTCCAACCTACCAATAACTTCATCATAAAATACATATATTATGTACTATACAGGTTTGTCACCTGATGGTAAGTGAGTATTGACCCATCTATTGACACCTTTAAGTAACTGTCCCCAGAGCACTGGTAACCTCGCTCGCTCAGTGAAAAGTAACAAAAAAGTATTTAACACCAGCTGCCTGTGAGGCCGGGCTATCAGCCCGGTCGAAACTCCTCATTTGAGCCCAAAATCAAATAATTTGATACGTGGTCATTTAAAAATTGTTATTACGTGTCATAAATTAATAGATTTGACTAAATAGTTTACGGCATATAATTGATCGTTTCCTTTAGAGTCTCACTTATTCTAATACCAAACACAAAGACCGAAAATTATATCCTATCTTAATGCGGGAGTTGTCTTTAAAAAAAAACTATCTTCAAACGTTTGCCTCTAATACAGTATCAACATCAAAAGCGAAGGATGAGTTCGTTGACAGATTTAATTACACTTACTCTGTTCCTAGCGGCAGAACTCAGTGTTCAGTGCTTGCGACAATCTAAAACACTAAATCTTTCTAGTGGCTGCTTACCGTTAAGAAGCAGGACACGCGTGACACATGGCTCGCCTAAATATATAGAATATATTCATGAGAGTGCGATCGAACCAGCGAGCCACAACGATTCTCCGAACTTTTCTCATCGGCACCCTCTAACTAATCCATACATTATGAAGCGTTTTTCCAGCCCACCCATAAGAGCTGATGAACCGTGCAAATTGAGGATGTAACTCACAAAGTGCCAGTTAGTATAAATCAAGTGGCTTCGAAGTTCCTCCGGATTAATATTAATTTATCGGTCAAATTTTCAATCTTCAGTTGCGGCGTTCATTATGCGTCGGTGAAATAAATTAGTGTCTCGCCGCAGCCGAATACCGATAGTAATGACGCTATTAACAGGACCGCTATTAGCATTGCACCAACCCCCGCCAACAAACTGTGATGTTAGCTAACTGTACACCCCAACTATCTACATATATCATGCGTGAACTGGTAACAGATACTAAAAACTAAATTAACCATAAACTTATTGTACCGTAGTGTAATAGTATAAACTAACAAAGACAAGATATTTTAAAAGAAGTTAGTTTAACGAAACATACTAAATGCTTTATATAATGACTAATGATATAATTAGATACTTGGCATCGTGTTATGTTCAATTTTAAGCTTTAAGTTATCCTCTATAGTTATCTCCTTTGTTATATTTTTAAATACCAATTATTGTTGTAGCTGGAAAAAAAAACAAGAAATCCCATCAATTGATTTAATTTAACACTTGGCGCCTATCGAAATTGTAATAGCAAAAAAATTAAAATAGAAAAACTATCTTTGATAGGAAAAATGGTTTCATCGTAAAAAATCGTTTTATATACCAGATTGTTTGAACAATAATGTACGTAACACAACAATCAAATTTGGTCACAACTGTGTTACAACTATGTTTCAGATATTAATAATGCATCTGTACATCGGGAATTATACACTATTTGCTTAGCACGTGCTATTACTATTCTTCAAATCACAAGGCTTTAGTCTTGACAGCGCTTTAGTCTTGTCATAGTCACTATAATATTTGGCAGAGGCAGGCTAACAGTGCACTCTCCAGGGTTAATCCAGGGTTCCATGGGTTAATACCAGACGGGTTACATCGTTTCATTGTAGATCCCAGATAAATAAAAGCACAAGTAAGTTGCAAATGATACACTTTTTGTTTTTTTTTTTTTTTAACGTGTGGAAATCCCCTCGGACCGTCACCCCACCGGGGTTTGCGGCGGGGTGGTGTGTCGGACTCGGACCGACTAAAACCACACGGTGTGCCACTCTGCGCCTGTAACAGGAGGGATCCGGGAACAGCTGTTGTTAAGACATCCGGACCCCTCCTAGCGCCAGCCCGCTCCTGGTGCGGGCTCCGTCTCAATTTTTTTTTTTTTTTTTTTTCCTCTCTTTAGGCGACGTCCGGCACACGCGGACGCCGCCCCCTCGCGGCTGGCCAAACTAATGCGGGTGGAGGGGAAACCCACCCCGTCCACCCGCGGCCACACTCAGGGCGGCATGAGGCTGTGATAGGCGGGCCTCCGCCGCCCGGTTCGCCGGCGGCGGATCGGGTCCGAGTGGAGGTCGTCCTCCCGGGCCCTCTCCGCCGCCTCCTTCCGCGAGATTACTACCTCGCAGAAGGTTGCGACCGCGGTAAAACAACTGTCGCTACCGGCCATGGAGCGTACTACGGCCGGTAGCGAGAGATCCACTCCGATGACTGCAGTGAGGGCCCGGCGCTGCGCCGCCCATGCGGGGCAGACCGCCAGCGTGTGCTGGGCCGAGTCCTCACTGCAGTCGCAGTGGTGGCAGGCGGGACTCAGTTCCCTCCTAGCGACCGAGTGCAGGTACTTTCCGAAGCAACCGTGCCCGGAAAGCACCTGCGTCAGCCGGAAGGAAAGGGTCCCGTGCTGCCGCCCTGCCCACTCGGCGATGACCGGCTGGAGAGCCTCCACGGCGGCGAAGCCACCGCGTGGAGTCTCCAGCCGGAACGACCAACGAGCCATCGTGGCTCGGCGAGCGGCTTCGCGCCACTCGCCGATAAACTTCGGCGAGCACTTCCGCCTCCAAATCCCACGGGGGAGTTCCGGCCAACGCGCATGCCACCTCCGTCGAAACGGTGCGGTACACACCCACACCGGTGCACCGTACAGTGCCATTGACCGGACAACCCCCGTGTACAGCCGTCTTGTCGCGACGCTGGGTCCACCCATATTGGGCAAAAGTCGCCCTAGGGCAGACGCAGCGCCGACCAGCTTTGGAGCAAGCTGTCGGAAGTGCTCGTCGAAGAGCCACCTCCCGTCGAGGATCAGGCCCAGATATTTCATCTGGGCATGAACCGGTACGAGGACCGAGTTGACCACGGTTGAGGCGCCAGGGGGTGGACCACGACGGGGCCCATGAAATAACAGGGCCTCCGTCTTATCCAGGGCCACCCGTAAGCCCAGCGCCTCAATGCGCCCGACCACCAGGGAGACTCCCCCTGTGGCCAGGCGCACCGCCTCTTGGAAGTTTTCCCCCCGGGCTGTCACCAGGGTATCGTCTGCGTAACAGATTACACCCAGCCCGGGGGGGAAATCGGCGCGAAGGGCCCAGTCGTACCCTATGTTCCACAAGAGGGGTCCAAGAACAGACCCCTGTGGAACACCGCACGACATGGGCCGACACCTCAGATTACCTTCTCGATCCTCGTACACGACGGTACGCTCCTCTAAATAGTCTGCCACTAGCCGCCTCAGGTACTTTGGCACCCCATGATAGTGGAGTGCTTCCCTGATGCAGCTGAATGGCAGACTATTGAATGCGTTGGCGATGTCTAATGACACCGCCAACAGCACGCCGCCACAGCTCACGGCCTCTTCGGTCACGGCCCTCAGGCGCAGCGCAAGACTGTCGAACGCCCCGCCCGAAAACCAAATTGGGCGTCCGACAGATCGGGGCCCACCTCGCAGAGGTGCCGGACGATGCGGGCAGAAAGAACCCTCTCAAACAATTTACCCGCCTCGTCCAGCAGCACGATGGGCCTATAGGCCGCGACCGAATCGGCAGGCCGTCCCGGCTTCCTTAATAGGACCA